CACACAGCCAAAACCTTCTGGTTAGTGACATTTGAAGCCATATTACACTGATCAGTGTTGGCTGTGTCTCATGAAACTGCTTTCCAAAATTAAGTAAAACTCTCCAAAATCAAAATCTAAGAAGAGTGAGTATAAAACAAATGACAGTTAAGGTCATTGGCAGGGCCGAGTGATAAGGGAAGCTGATGGCCAACTACTGTGGAATCATAAAAGCCCACTGATACCACAAGGTACAAATTTCATCCTAGGACTAAAGTTTATGCTTGTTATTTTCTTCATGTTCTGTAGCAACCTGCTCTATAATGTAAAAAGTGTATAGAAAGCCTGGTATCTGGAAAAATTCTGAGTCATGGGGCGGTCCAGATTCTATATGAAAAGATGGGCACAGAAGGCTGGGGGCTTTGCTGCATTTCCCTGCTCGACCCCTAGTGGGCAGTCTCTCCTGGCCTCATAAAGGTAAATACCACAGCCCTGGCCCTACTAAGCTGTGGAAATCCAAAGTGCTGCACACTCATTGCAGCTCTCTAAATATGAGAGGACTTGGGAAAGTTCATGGAAAATGGAATTCAAGTTCAAGTTTACTTAGGTATAAAACATTGAAATCCATGTAGGTTTTGCGTATTATTCATTTCTCACAAACTTTTTGAAGTCCCCGTGTATGTGCTGAGTAAATGACTACATGTGTGGTGACTATTCCCACCTGCAGTGCGCCCTGCAGTGCCCCAGCCAGTCAGACTTGGGCACGAGCAGACAGCATGGACTGACGTTCCTGAGAAGTTTGTGCCCACTCTGGATACTACTGGAAGAGCACAATCTCCTTTAGCCCTCTCAGTGGTCATTGAAAGGCCAAAGGCAAGACTTTGAACAGGAAATCAAAGCATATGCAAAACACAGTGACACAGTGTCCACATGGAAGATAGTATGTGGCTTCTTGAATTCCCTGAAGGTGACACAGCAGTGTGTTTGTCATGGTTTGGAAGAGATGACTGGAGAGACTGCTCTGGTTGCTGGACCCCTCTTGACTGGGCCATATTGTCAAAAAAATGTGCCCCCTCCTGCACACTGGAGCTGCTCCTGGATCAGAGGTGGCAGAAGTGGCAGCTGGGCTACTAGAGAGAGAGTGGCTGGGTACAGAGGACGTGAGGCCCAAGTCTCCATGTGGGGTCCCGGAGGGTTCTAGAGCTGGGCTCCAGCCCTTCAGCCTCAGCTTCTTGAGCAATCAGCCTTTGGGCTTTGTGGCCTGCTGTGCCCCAGAGAACTTCTTGTCTGCAAATTACGCTCATAACATAAGAAAAAAAAAATAATGAAAAACTTGACTACTGTTGGTTTAAACTGCTAATCAAAAAAAGTTTAACAAATTTAAAAAATAAAATTAGGCCTTGGGGCTAAATATTTGCCAAGGTTGAAAAGCCAGAATGATACAAAATAGCACCAAAACCCATTTTCCCATTTCCCAACTGGAGACTGGATTAGAAAGAGGCGAGAAGAGACAGACATACAGAGACCACTGAAGGCTGTCATGGGAACCCTGGCGCAAGACAGCGGTGGCCGAGACGAGTTACCTGAAGAAACACAGACACAGATAGATGAAGGCGTGTGCTGCGGGAGCAAGCACTTCCCAGGAATGTCAGAGACTCAGCCCCTTAGAGGCAGTCATTTGAAATATGTTAACTAACAATTATTTTTAACTGGTCCTTTTATAGAGCCCTGATTCAGAAGTTCTTAAACCAGTTCCCGTATGTGTTAAAATCACAGCATGAACTGCCTGAGAACATTCCACAATTCAGCCAACTCAAAACCATGTCCAGGGCCTGCTTGGCACCTGTCTGTCACCATGTGACATGGCGAGGCAGCCATCCACATCTGCACTTGAAATCACCATATTCCTTGACTCCTGGGCTAGGACCCTGTGAGGTTCCTTCAGGCACCCAGACTGTGTAGGAAAAACCCCATTTATCAACTCCAGGTGATGGTCAACACCCCCCAGGCTCAGGGCCTGGATTAATTATTGGTGAGATGATGGGAACAGAGTCCTGGTGAGCCATTTCTCTCTTGCCAAGAGGATGAGTCAGGTTTCAAAAGACACATGTGTGGCTCTGTCTGGAGAGAATATTTGGGGCATGAGCGCCCTTGATGAGTAGCATGGAATGCTGTGGAAAATGTGAAGCCCCGGGTTGCTTTCTCTGCCAGTGGTTTCCTAGGATTGTAGGGTGTGTTGGGGGTGGGGAGGTCCTTGGGGGCAGGTAGCAGAGAAAGCTTAGCTGTGGAGAGGAAAGCGACTAGCCAAACTAGATCAAATAACACCTCAGCCACTTAGGAAGCATCCTCCCTGCTCCTGATTGACTCCACTTATCGCAGGTGACAAGTCTTTTGTTTTAACAAAAGAAATACCAAGACCTTTGTGAACCAGGGATGTTTCCTGTCAGATGGGAGCCACGATCATTAGCTCCTATTGGCAGAGTATGTGCTAATCTGAGGATGCATGACTGGATTGTTGAATTCCCAATTTTTACATTCTGTTTAAGCTTGGATATCTCCATGAAAGACAGAAAAGATAAGGCTAAACGAAGTCAAGCTTATGGTTCTCTTGAGTTTCCACGAAGCTGCCAGACTTCCGATTTCTGCAACTATTAAGTGCTTTTCCCTCCTGGATAGGGTGTGCTCTGCCGCCATGTGGACATTTGGGGAACTGCACCTTCCCAAGCATCTGCTGAGAGGAGAAAGTGACTGAGAGGCTGGGAGAGAGCTTCCTTAACCTCCTGGTCCTCTTAAGTAAAGATCAGGCTCCTGGCTTACCCAGAGGAGGACCGGCTCAGAACTCTGTGAGGATGATCAGAGTAACCTTCCCCGTTACTGTGCCTACTCCCGCCACTGTCGCCCTGGAGGCCGAGCACTGCAAATGGAGATAGAACAAGACCCTCGCTGGATCTCAAGTCAGGTGCTTTTAGAAAAGTAAATTCCCAAGACTTTTTTTCACCTTAGAGGAAGCAAGAAAATGAGACGTTAAAGTTGGCTACTACTTCCTTCTTTGGAAGTGCTGGTGTTGGCAGTACTTCTGCCCTGTGGTTACTGAGCTGGAAGCGGGAGGGAGCTTAGCACGAGCATGTGGCAGGAGTGGGCTCTTCATAGCATGCCACCCTGGCTGATCTCAGGCAATGGAAGAGGCCCAGAAAGAGCTTAGGACAAAAGGGACAAACCCTAGGTTTGCATTCGATTTGGTCAGTGGTATTTGGCAGCCGACTTGCAGACTTCATGAGAAGGCACAGGGTAGCTGTGTGGGGCAGTGTGGAGATAGCTGAGTGCCTCACAGCTCTGCCTTCTAGTCACCCCCCACACACATTCCAGCTCTGTGACCTCGGGCAGTCGGCCTATGGCAGTCAGTCTTCTGTGTGTGAACTAAGAACGATAAGATCCCTGGGTCTCACAGGAAGGTGGGAGGACTGAGCTACAAGCCAGGGCCTGGCTCCTGGCTGATCTCACTAATGGTCCATGCATGTAACTAAGATTCTTAGCCCCCTGTAAACACCCCATAGGGAGGGTGAGCCACAAGTGTGGTGAGGAAGGTGATGGAAACAGTAGCAAGGGTAGCTGTTCTGTAGTCTCTGGTTCAAACCAGCCCGGACTATGTCATTGGCTCTGCTGAGGTGTGATATGAACCTGTGTACCCAAAGCAGGGGCGCAGTTAAAGAACTGAACCATGCCAATAATCAGAGGCCAGGTTCCATGCTCCCATGTGGCCACTTCCGGCACCATGTAGTCGAGTCTAGGAGACAGTAGTGTCTAGGAGCCTCTGAGTGACAAGTGGCTTCCAAACATTCCTTGGGGTCCTCTACGAGACCGAAGCATGCAGAACCTGACCAGTATGTGGGCTGGGTGGTGTGCATGCAGCTGGCCTCCAGGGTAAATGTGGTTCTTGTGAAAGTATCTGAGGAGATAGAGAATTTAAAAGAAAAACCCAAGGACAGCTCTGTCATTTCTGCTCATCTTCCATTAAAGATTCTAAGACCGAGAGTGCGTGTCTGTGTTTTCTAAATGTTGCCATCACCTTATTAGGGAAATAAACACCAAGTTATTGTGCATCTCCTGTGTGCCAGGCACCATGCTAGGGAGTTTAGATATTTAATCCTCTCAGCAGCCCCGTGAAACAAGAATTGTTATTTTGTCCATTTTATAGACAAGGAAGCTGAGTACAGTGAAGTGAGGTGGCTTGGCTGCTTGGAGAGGGCTTGCCTGTAACGTTTATTGATTCCAAAGAACACACCTGGAAGTCCCCAGGGGAAGACAGGTGTTTGTTTGCTTACATAACAGGACAGGGACAGGATAGGCAGAGGATGGTCTGTGCCGTCGCGGAGCACAGGCTCAGGCTGTACTCTGAAATCAAAGAGTGTGACCATCACCTACAAGATCATTGTTGGAGATTACAATAAAAGGTCAGTTCAAGGACTGGCAGAATCAGCCGAGTATGTTTGGCAGGGTTTCCTACCCCTAATCCTGTGATGTCAGTGAGGGAGAGGAGTGTGCCTACTTCCAGAATGGCCCTCCCGCGGGCCCAGTCTGTGAGGTGAAGGCAATGGTCATAAGATGTCTAGAAGCCCCAGCCGTGTCCTACGGCTAGGTCAAGGAAGACGGGGCAATGAGGGAGGGCAGAGGAGAGCTCAATGTACACCATCCACTTGCACAAGTTCACCCAGACAGTGAGCATGGAGGTGGGATCATCTTCCCAAGATTCCATCTTTGTGTGCCCCACAGCACCGGCACAACACCGTGGACTTGGGAGGAGCTTAGTAGATGCCTGCTCGATTGAGGATGGAAGGATTCATGTGCCAAAAGGGCGTTCGGAAGTGAGGGTGAATGCCCAGGCAGAGCTCTGAAAGACCAGCTGTGTGGAGCAGCAGCTGGCAAGTCATTTAAAACCCACTGTCATCTGGCCAGGGGCCTGCTGGCCTGCAGCCAGCCACACACAAGGGCTGACTTGATCCACTTTGGCTCTTTTATTTCAGGCACTCCACCTTCCAAGGAGGTACCGGCTGGGAAGTACCCATTCATAGTCACCTCCGATGATGGGCGGAAGGTTCCTGTGGTCCAGGCCTATGCTTTTGGCAAATACCTAGGCTATTTGAAGGTAGAATTTGATGAAAAAGGAAATGTCATCACTTCACACGGAAATCCCATTCTTCTAAACAGCAGCATCCCCGAGGGTATGTGAAATTCGAGGGAACATTCTACCACCACACCAAAAATGGGGTGGCTGGACTTTTCCCTTCTTTCTCTTTAATGTTCCAGAAGACTGTACGACTGCTGAGGGATTTAGCTTCTCCCTTGAGTTTACTCTTCATGGGTAAGAGCTGAAACACACCCAACCACATCCCCGCTTGGTTCTCCAGGTCCTCTCAGCATTAAGCTCTGACCACCGCTCCTCCTCTGCCTTAGAAAAGCTTGGCCCCAACACGAGAAAGCCACCTCAGCTCGTGGCCAGAGGAGCACCGACAACTGAAGCAAAGAGGTTCAAATTGAGCTGAACAAGGTTCCAATCAAGGCCCCACCCACAGGGGCAGTGTGCCTTGGGCAAGGAGCCTGGTCTGGTGGACCTCAGCTCTTTTATCTGTCAAAGGAGAGAGTATCTATCTACCTTTTTGTCTCAGACTCAGAATAAAAATGCTTTTTTTTTTTTTGCTTAGAGGTTTTTGCGTTAGGATGCATGCACTTGTGGGAGTGAGGAAGAGACAGAGACAGTGAGAGGCAAAGTGAGAAGTCACTCTGTAGGGGGAATGGCCTTGCCACTATCCCTTCTCCTCCTTTCTCTTTCTGGGGCCTTGGGCATGCCCCCACACTTAAAGCCACTGGGTCCGGGACTTGAACCGTGGTTGGACATGTGGGAGTCCAGTGACATAACCACGATGCCATCTGCTGGCCCCCAAGATGCATTTTTATGCCACCCATTTTCATGTTCATGAGCACGCTCACGGTTTCTCTCACCTGCCCTTTCCTGTTTATCATGCTCGGGTCAGGAAGGATGGGCAGTGAGAGGTCACAGTGCCCAGGAGCACCTGTAGTCATAATGCAGGCTTTTCAGTAGCACAGATGGGGAGCCCCAGGCCCTGCGGGCAGCAAAGGCCCTGCAGCACCAAAGGCGGGTCCTTGGTACCTGCACCCGCCCCCTCAGGGCCCCTTCCACACACTAGCACTGTCCAGGTGGACCAACAGGTGCTCATACAGATGTGAGGAGCCGCTGTTAAGATGTTCAGCATGTCCCTAAATTAAGATCCATTCTAGGCCTTATTACCAGGAAGCAAAACAGAGGTTCCTAAGGAAATATCATGCTCAGAAACAAAATGTACACAAATATGGTAAAAAAAACGTGCCTTCACAGCAGGTAAGCTCGATGATGTTTGATTTCTTCTCCGGAATTTAGCCCAGTGTGAGATCTGCTTTAACAACAGGAGGGCTAACTCTCTCCCTGCTTCCTTCCTGTCTTTTTCTTCTAGATCCGAGCATAAAAGCAGACATTAACAGATGGAGGGAACAATTAGATCATTTTTCTACCCAGGAACTGGGGAGAACAATCGTTTATCTGGACGGCTCCACTGGATCATGCCGCTTTAGAGAGTGCAACATGGGCAACCTCATTTGTGATGCTATGGTACGTCGTCTGCAGGGGTGGGGGACGTAGGGGTGCTGAGTCCGAGGAGAGAGGAAAGAAAAATGGAAAGAGCATGGGAAAATGCAAGGAGGGGCAACCCAATAGTTGCAGAATTGAGGATTTTTAAAAAGTAGTGCCCGGGGGTCATCAGGTGATGTGGTGGTTAAGGTGCTGGATTCCCGCATGGTCGGATCACAGTTTGAGTACCAGACCTGACGGCTAGAAAATCATGCCAAGTGCATGTGCATGTGCATCCAACATCCCAGGAGGAGAACGGAGGACAAGGGATTGTGCTGTGGCCATCCCCCCAGGGGGTGACTTCTCACTTTCCCTCTCTTTGTTTCTCTCTGGCAAGTGCACACACCCTATGGCAAAAAGCTAAAAAGAAAAAGTAGTGCCTGGACAAAAGCTTGGTGTGATTTTATACCAAGGGCCTCGGCAAGGTGCCTACATTCATGGATAACCATCACATTAGAACTTTCATGAAGAGACTTCAAAAAGTTCATGGAAATATGGAATTAAAGTACTGAGTTTATTTTGGTGCTGAATTTTTTTTGAAATTCAATGCATAGTTTTTCCATAATATTCACTTTTCATTCACTTTTTTTTTTTTTTGAGATGTCTTTTCTATAGGGCACATGTTACTTGCCAGACAGACAGAGACAGAACTAGAGAGAAATCACTCCCCAGGGGAGATGGCCATACCACAATCCCTTCTTCTCCATTCTCCTCTTGGGATTTTGGGCACACACACACACACACACACACACACACACACATCCAGCATAGTTTCAAGCCCCTGGTCCAGGACTCGAACCATTGTGAGAGTCCAATGATGTAACCCTTATGCCATCTGCTGGTCCTCACTTTTCATTAACCTTTAAAAACCCTTCATATTAATGCTGGCAAGTGGTGCGATGGTTGATGTGCTGGACTCTCACATAGCCAGCTGTGGTTTGAGTCCCGGACCTGGTGCCTTGCTTTCTCATTTTCCCTTTCTCTCTCTCTGTCTCTCCCTGGTCAAATTAAAAAATTATAATAACAAACAAAATTAAATAAATAAAATTTTTTTTGTTTAGAAGTTTTCGCTATAGGGCACGTGCGCTTGCCAGACGGACAGAAAGAGACATAGAGACAGACAGCGAGAAATCACCCTCCAGGGGGGATGGTCACGCTGCAACCCCTTTTCCTCCATTCACCTCTCAGGATCTTGGGCATGCACACACACACTCCCGGTGTGAGTTTTAAGCCACCGGGTCCGGGACGCAAACCGCAGTCCACTACATGGGAGTCCAGCGACATAGCCATTACACTAACTGCTGGTTCCCTTTTTCTAAAAAATAAACCTTTGTATTCAAGGTGTTCTTAGCTGTCTAAATGTTGAATGTTGCTGTCCTTTTATAAGGTGATCTAAATGCATAAACCTGCTACATAAAGATGTTTACTATGTTGACACATCTGCTTGGAACTGACTGGGCAGTTTTCACCTTGATCTGTCCACTTGGTGCCAGAGAACCTAGGCCTTACATGACTGAAATGTCCTTCCCAAACGTAGAATGACAGCTCACAAGTATAATGATAATCTTAAGTCCCATGGCTGAGGGAGACCACCCATGAGAAGCACCCCCCATCACCCACTTGTCCACAGGCAGACAGGCCATAGTCATTCCGGGGGCGTGCCAAGGTCTTCAAGGTCAGGCTCACTATTCCCACAGGCTCGCAGTGTGCACCCAGGGGAGTCATTTCTTTGTCACTGTTTGGCACACAGTGTCTGGTGCCAAACAGTGCCTGGGATACAGCCATCCTCAACACACATCTGCTCAGTAAGCAGCCCTGCTCTTGCTTTTCAAGGTGAGAGGCATGCTGGCTGCTCAGCATCATGCGGTCGGTGTGCGAGAAACAGAGAGAAGCCAGAAAGTAAACGTTTAGAGAAAGGTATGGAAGCAAACACCCCAGGCTGTTTGTTCTGCTTGCCTCTGCTAAAAGAGGCCAAGGCAGGGGCCTGTAGGTGGAGGGTGGTTAAAGTGCTAGGTCCCCACATGGCCCACCAAGGTTCTGCTTCTGGACCTGGCAGCCGAGTGCATGTGCATATGTGCCCAAGATCCCAAGAGGAGAATGAAGGAGAAAGTATCACGGTATGACTGTACCCCCTTAGGGGTGATTACTCAGTTTCCCTCTCTCTGTCTCTCTCTCTCCAATGTGCACACACACCCTCTGGTCAAAAACTAAAAAAAAAAAAAAAAAAAAAAAAGTTTTAAGCGGCTAGGACAACTGTAAAAGAACCTGCTATATTTCTTTTTCAAATGAGAATGTATTCACTTATTTCTTATTACTAAACATATATTCTGAATAAACCGATTCTCTTTGTTTCAGAAGCTGCCCCTGTGCCTTTAAAATTGCCAGCTTAGGAACGGCTGGGACATAGACTTCAAGGCCGGTTCTTGTGGGCATGAGGTCTGGTGTTGAGTGGACTTTAGGGCCCTGCCCTCAGGAGAAAATGTGGGCACGGCCTGCACTGGAAGAGACTGTGAGGGAGCAACAGCAGTTACAAGGAGGCCCAGTCCTGATACCCTGCCGAAACCCAGAGATCGTTTTGCTAAGACCCCTGGCTAGAGAGTGCAGGGGTTTTAGGAGAGAGGGTTAAGAGTTCCCCCTTTCTCAGAGTGACATAGGACTGATCACAGTGTCATATTTTTTTATTCTTGGAGCGTAAAACTAGTTCTGATTTCCAGGAACACAGGAGCAGGGGAAAGGCAGCTTTATTTCCTCAGTAGAGCCAATCAGACTCCTGCAACTGGTCCTAAGAAAGAAGATCCAGAGTAACTAATGCCATGTGCTATTGTCTCAGATTAACAACAACCTTAGACACTCAGATGAAATGATCTGGAACCACGTGTCTATGTGCATTTTAAATGGAGGTGGCATCCGATCACCCATCGACGAGCGGAACAACGGTATGCTCCCCAGGGCCAGGCTCTTCAGCTCATCGTTTCCCATCAGAAATCCTGCCCCACACAGGCCCACAGGCAGCCTCAGCTCCTCTGTGCTATCAGCCATGTATCAAAATGTCAGCCATTTGGGGCCAGACCGTGATGCTGTGGTTATGCAGCACTCCATGAAGCTCCCCTGCATGGGAGGAGTCTGGGTTTGTGACCAGAGACTTCCCTGAATACCCCAGGCACATTGAATGCAGGGCTGGCTGAAGCTGGGGGTAGGTTGTAGCATGAGGACCCTCTCGAGGGTGTGTTCTCTTCTGTATCTCACATGGAAGGGAGAAGAGAGTAAACGACAACAGAAAAGGTCAGTCCTTTAGGTTTGGGTCAGTGGTTCCTCACGGCCAGTGCCCAGCCTAAAGAATGCTTGTGTATTCTCAAAAGGATTCACACACAGAAGCAGCAGCTAAGGTTAGTGGATCCCACCAAGCATGGTCTAAATTTCTGACTCACAAAGTTAGATACTAATTGTCGCTGGCCTATACAAAATTCAGCAGCCTTTACCTTAGCATCACAGAAGAAAAGGACAAAATCACAAATCGCCTATTGCTGCAAAATTGAATGAACATATTCAGTAATTTATAGGTAGCCAAGATTATGTCGTAGGGTAAAATAAATAAACTGGACAGATATTCAAGACACTTTCGTAACCCTCCCTGACACACAGCTGGCTGCTGATCAAAGTGGGAGTTAGCCCTGACCCCCATGTAGTCAAAGTCCACATACAGCTTTTTAGTAAGTTCATTTGCCTCTTCCATGAGACACAGAGACAGAGGCACACAGAGACATAGAGAGGGTTTGGGGAGAGAGAGACAGGAACCACCGCAGGGTCTTCATGCCAGGATCCCCATGCCCCAGCCTCAGCCAGGGCCACAGGCACACACAGGAAGCCCTTGGACACTGACTCGGCACCTTCTTGTATGGCCCCAGCACCTGGCGGCCTGGTGTGTAACGTTTGACTCCCCAAAACTTAACTGCTAATAGCTTACTGTGACCAGAAGGCTTATCTGTAACCTAAACAGTTGATTAACACATGTTTTGTATGATATATATATATGTGTGTGTATATATATATATATGTAAATACACATATATATTGATATATATATAAATACATATATATATATATATATATATAATGTACTATATTCTTACAATCAAGTAAGCTAGAGAAAAAATATTAATAAAATCATAAGGATGTGAAAATACATTTACAGCACTGTACTGTGTTTTCCAATATATTTCTTGGGAAACAAATCTGGGTATAAGTGGACCCGCACAGTTCAAGCCCATGCTGTTCTCGGGTCAGATGTACTGTGGAAACAATCAGTGTAAGGCACCACGCTTCTCCTGTAAGAGCAGGGATAAGCACCTGGGACCCTCTGTGGTCTGAACTGAGCGATGCATTCCACAGAGGCCCAGCCTCAGCCATTCGTGAGATCCTGCTGCCTTCTTGTGGTGGGTAGGGCGGGTTGCTGCTTGAATCCATTTCCTCCCTAAGTGTAGGAGCCACTTGGACACAGCGTGTGCTGCCCTAACAGCCTCCCCATGTTTCCCTCACCCCCTTCCCAGCCCTGGGGGAAACTGGTCTGGGGGAAGCATTTTCTCAAGCCATTTTCCTGCTTGTCTGATCTATGACCACCCTCAGGCACGATTACCTGGGAGAACCTGGCTGCTGTGTTGCCCTTTGGAGGCACATTCGACCTGGCCGAATTAAAAGGCTCCACCCTGAAGAAGGCTTTCGAGCACAGTGTGTATCGTTATGGCCAGGCCACAGGAGAATTCCTGCAGGTGGGCGGTAAGTCACCACCCTGCAGGGGGGCCTCTGGGTGATGTGACATTTCCTGCTGGTTGGCTCAGGAACTCTGGAGCCAGGCTTGTTTGGATTTTTCCCGCCCACGCCAATCCATCATCTTCCAATGGCTATGGACACCCAGAGCCCCTGAGATTCAGTTGGCAATGAACAGTGTTTTGTCAAGTCTGATCTGGACATCCAGGGGGCCTTTTGCAGGACCTGGGCCTTTATAATCTAAGCAGGTCCGGAGGTTTAGTTCCTCTTGAAATCATAGTGGCTTAGCACTCCGGATTCTTTGTTTTGAAAAAAATCTCAGTCCTCTCCTCTGTTCTATTGGTAATTGCCTTGAGCCACGCCCACATTCAAAGGAATGCAGCATCCAACCAGTATTAATAAGAAATGATTCTGAGAGGGACAGCCTGCTGTCTAGACACACTGGAACACCTGGTCTGTCTGCTGTGCTCTGGGGCAGGTCCAAAAGCTTCTGTCAATGATGAATTCCATTTCAGTGAGTTATTCCTTAGGTGAATAATCTTGTTTTACTCTGAAACCATATTCTGGTCTCATTTTTTCACTCTCAATTATGGCCCCACTTGGTGACTGCTCTGCGAGTCCTTCCCTCTGCAGACACCTCACTGCTGGGGTTAAGCAGCTGCAGAAGGCTGGGGTCCTGGCTGCGGCCTGTGGAGTGACCCAGACATCCTGCATTTTCCCAGGGGGTAAACCAAGGGAACAGCAAAGTGCTGGGTAGATGAATGCTCTGTGAAAGTTACCCAATCCCAAATTATTACCACACAGTAGTCTTCAACATTGCAACCAATGCGCTGTGCATTTATTCTCACTTATATATTCCAAGTTATGGACCCATTAATTCAGAATTTTAAAGAGAGAGACAAAAAAAAAAGAAAGAAAACCATAATAAAGTGGTTTTTTTCTTGCAGTCCCCTGTGGCTCCCTCTACTCCGAGCCAGTTTTCCTTCTAGTAGGTCTCATATCCCAGAAGGACTTAGGGATCAAGCAAACCAAGGAAGAGTAGCACCAATGTCACCTCCATTCTCTTGAAATTCATTCAAACTCAAACTAAGGGAAAATCAAACCCTGTGCCCCAGTTCCTGATCTCTGCCGAAAACCCTTTCTTCGCAAACACAAACATACCTTTAGATCCAGTGAGAACCTACGGACTCATTTCTTTTCTAGGAATCCACGTGGTATATGATCTCTCCCGAAAACCTGGGGACCGAGTGGTCAAGTTAGATGTTCTTTGCACCAAGTGTCGAGTGCCCAGTTATGAGCCTCTCAAAATGGATGAGGTGTATAAGGTGATCCTCCCAAACTTCCTGGCCAATGGTGGAGATGGATTCCAGATGATAAAAGACGAATTATTGAAACATGACTCTGGTAAGCACAAGTCTCTTCCTTGGCCTATCCTAAAGGTATGTGAGGACAGGCCTAGGGCTGAGAAGGGAAGCCACTCACAGCACCAGGAGGACAAACCTCAAACCAGATCCTGTCCCTCTTTTGCTGCTGGAAAACAGTAGAACAGCAGTGAGGAGCAGACAGCTTGTCTTTCCTCGACACAGATACATCTGCTAACCCCTGGGAAAAACTTACTTTTTCTTAGAGAGAGATTTTTGCTATAGGGCACATGTGCTTGCTGGAGAGACAGAGACAGAAAGTGAGAAATCCCTTCTCCTCCATTCTCCTCTTAGGATTTTGGGTGCACATGCACACATGCCTGGTGTGAGTTTCAAGCCAACGAGTTCAGGACTCAAATTGCAGTTGACTACGTAGGAGTCCAGCAACATAACTCTTACACCATCTGCTGGTTCCAGGAAAAAAAAAAACATTTTAAAATTAAAATTGTTTTCATTGGAACCAGCAGATGGCATAATCATTACATCACTGGACTCTCACATGGCATACCGCGGTTTGAGTCCCAGACCCAGAGGCTTGAAACACACTGGGCACGTGTGCATGCATACCCAAAATCCTAAGAAGGAAATGGAGGAGAAGGGATTGTGGCGTGGCCATCCCCCCCAGGGGGTGATTTCTCATTTTCTGTCTCTCTGTCTCTGTCTCTCTGGTGAGTGCACACACCCGATAGCAAAAATCTTTCTAAAAAAAGTTTTCACACTCTTGACTCTAAGTAGCTATTTAAATTGTGAAATATACATAAGTTATTTATAGAAAAATCACACCTCTGGAACTTCAGATTGAACATGGAAGCCCATCATACTGAATTATCTAGATTTTCTTTCTTTTTTCTTTTTCCTTTTTTTTTTTTTTCCTTTTGAGGGGTTTTTGCTTATGGGAAGTTACGCGAGCACACCACACAGAGAGAGACAGAGAGACAGAAAGCGAGAAATCACCTCCCAGGGGGGATGGCCACGCCACAATCCCTTCTCCTTCATTCTCCTCTTGGGATCTTGGGCACGCATGCACACATTTTAAGCCCACCGGGTCCAGGACGCAAACCACGGTCAACTACGTGGGAGTCCAGCGACATAGCCATTACGCTAACTGCTGGTCCCTAGATTTTCTTTCTTGAAGAATCTTTTAGGACCAGTCTGGTAACATGGTAGTTAAGGTGACTAGGTTCCACATGGCCAACAGTGCAGTTTGAGCCCTGGACCCAGCAGCATGAAAAACACACCAGGCATGTGAGCATGTGTGCCCAAAATCCCAAGAGGAGAATGGAAAAAAATGGCTTGCAAAGTGCTCACTCTCCATGGAAGATGCTTAGGGGCTTTCTCACTTTCTCTGTCTCTGGTGAGCACACATACAGAGAGAGAGAGAGAGAGAGAGAGAAGCAGCTTTTAGTTTTGTGTAGGTGAGGTAAGGGAAAATAGAGTAAGTGCCCCTCTTTCAGCACACTGGGTTGGTGGAACAAATTATAGGAAGAACCAAGCGTGATGTCAGTAGATTTTTTTTAATTGTCAGAGGGCAGGTGTGCTCATCAGAAACAGAGAGAGAGAAACAGGGTGAGATGGAAAGCACCCTACAATGGGTCATGGTGACACCACAATCCCTTCTCCATCTCTCCATTCTGTCAAGATTTGGGGGGCATATATACGCTTGGTGTTTTGTTGTTTTTTTTTTCTGAGTCATTGGGGCAGGGATTTGAACCGTGATTGGCCATGTGGGATCTAGCTTTCTTAACCACTAGGCTACGAGACTAGCCTGCCCTCAGTAGATATTTTCAGCAGCACCAAGGATCATTATACACCAGACTCGCTTTTAGAAATCTAATTGAGAGCTATCTCATGGACATTAAGTCCGCTAACACAGAACACACTTCCCCATCCTCTTGCTCGGGCAGAAACGAGCACATTGAAAAACACATATGCAGCCTCTCTGCATCTCCTGGAGGCTCAGTCAGAGTCTTCCTCAGCCCTACCATGGTCTGCATGCCACTGGAGCTGCTTATTCCAAGGATGGTGGACAATGGAACCAATCCAAAGGAGCCAGCCCTTTCTGGAAGGAAAGGCCATGGACAGAAGTCCATCCCATGATACGAGATGAGAGGGAGGCTTAATAGACCACATGAAGCAAAGAGGACTTGGCCATGCATCACCCAAGTCGACAGACGGCTGTTAGAGAGAAGGAGCTTGTCCAGAAGGCTGAGGAGCCCTGGACCTAAAGATTCTTGATCCTGGCAGTACACTTACTGGGGAGCATTTTATCATTTATTTATTTATTTGAGAGATTTTTGCTATAGGGTGCATGCACTTGCCAGAGAGACAGAGAGACAAAAAGCAAGAAATCAATCCCCCCAGGGGGAAAGGTCACACCACAATCCCTTCTTCATTCTCCATTCAGGATTTTGGGCACGCACACACGCCCAGTGCGAGTTTTAAGGCACCGCGTCCAGGACTCGAACTGTGGTTGACTATGTAGAAGTCCAGTGACATAACCATTACACCATTTGCTGGTCCCCCTGGGGAGCATTTTAAATTAAACACTAATTCCTTAGCTCCAGCTCTTAAGAGATTCTAATTTTGGGGCCAGCAGGTGGTATGGTGGTTAAAATGGTAGATTCCCACGTGGCCGAATACGGTTTGAGTCCCAGACCTGGTGGCTTGAAAATCATGTGGGTACATGTGCATGTGTGCCCAAAATCCCAGGAGGAGAATGGAGAAGGGATTGCATTCCCCCTGGGGTGTGATTTCTTACTTTCCCTCTCTATTTCTCCCTCCAGCAAATGGATATACCCAATAGTTAAAAATAATAAAAATAGAAAGAGAGAGATTCTAATTCATTCGGATTGGGGTGAAGTTTCTTTTCTGTTGGTTCTACTGTAGACCCAGGAAGGAAAATTACTGCAGAGTGGAGAGTTGTTTTCTTAAGTACTTATGATATTTGTAAAAGAAAATTCTGTTGGGTGCCCAATTACCTATAGCTACAAAACCCATTGTAGCTATAGGCAATTAGTATTTCTTTATCACCTCCCCTCTTTGGGAAATGAAATACTGTTCCACCATCAATTATATGAATATAATTTCTGAGCTAAAGAAAGCCATTTTTCTCTCTCCACAAATAGCTCATGACCCAGTTTCCTAACGCCCTTGTTCTGGCATAGTTCAAAGTCCATAATATCAACAGTCTTTGTCTTGAGTCAGAAATCTAAGAGCCGAGACAACTGTACCCCCCCCCCCAGTTATTCAACATTGAACAACAGGTACATTTCATTTGGGAACATAATGGAGCAATCACATTCTTTGTACTGTGATCACCAGTATTTTTTTCTTCTGTGACAGTTTACCCCTGCTTATGAGAGAAATATCTTCCCTTTTATATAAAAAAAAAAAACCAAAAACTTTAGAAAGGCATGGTGGTTAAGGCCCTGAACTCCCACATGGCTGTCCACCGTTCAAGTCCTGGACCTGGTGACTTGCTTTCTCACTTACCCTTTCTCTCTCTCTGGTCAAATTAAAAATAATAACAAATGGGATTAATTAAATAATTAATTTTAAAACAACTTTAGAAAAATACATTGGTTTCCCCCCCACACACACTCTTGCTGTTAACTGATAGTTACTTTTTTTGTAATTAAAATCATGTATGTATTTTCTTAGGTGACCAAGATATCAACGTGGTTTCTGAATACATCTCAAAAATGAAAGTAATTTATCCAGCAGTTGAAGGTCGGATCAAGTTTTCTGCAGGAAGTCATTGCCGTGGAAGCTTTTCTTTAATATTGCTTTCATTTTGGGCAGTGACCCTTGTTTTATACCATTAGCCAAAAATTCTTCTTGGCTTTAACGTGTGGAACTGCATTTTTTTTTAAGTGAGGTTCAAATCTTTTAGGACCTGGCTTTGTCTTGGCACTGACCACCCTCCCAGGCTCCTAGAAGCTGAATCTTAGAGCAGTATAAAAGCAAGAGACTGACATCAGCACTCAGGGTCCTCAATTTAGTGAACAGACAGAAAAAGAAATCAAAATAGGGTCCAATGAGGGGAGAGCCAACTCTATTTAGTTTACATACCCAAATTTTAATAAAATTTATTAGCAAATTTAAGTCATAGAAGTCATTTCCCCCCTTTATATCCCTCCCTAATCCACCAAAAAAACCCTACATTTACACAGAACTTTATCCTTTATAAGGAGGTCTCGAGCACATTGTCACATTTGATGCCATATCTATGGTGGGTAAGAGAAGTGATATTTTTCCATTTGACAGATGAGGAAACTAAAGCTCAATAAAGGCTGAATGTTCAGGGGACCAGCAGTTAGTGTAATGGCTATGTCGCTGGACTCCCACATAGTCGACCACGATTCGCATCCCAGACCCAGTGGCTTGAAACTCACACCGGGCGCGTGTGTGTGCATGCCCAAGATCCCGAGAGGAGAATGGAGGAGAAGGGATTGCGGCGTGGTCATCCCCCCTGGGGAGTGATTTCTCGCTTTCTATCTCTCTGTGTCTTTCTGTCTTTCTGGCGAGCGCATGTGCCCTATAGCAAAAACCTCTCCAAAAAAAAAAAGAAAAAAATAACAAAAAGGTTGAATGTTCAAGGTCACAAAGCTAGAAGGGGCAGACCTTTAACCCCAAGTCCACAACTCTTTCAGTTATA